GGAATTAGCCGTTTTGCGTAACGCTTGCAGATCCTTCCCCGATTGAAAGGGAGCCTTCAATGCATAATCAATTTTTTTTCTAGATCTTGGACATAAACACGATATATCTCTATTAAAATCTATGCCTATCTATCTAATAAAAAAATAAAAATGTCACGGCAATCAAATGAGTTCAAAACGATAAAAAAACGTTTCAAAGAAAATTTCTAACAATGTTATTAATTTACATTATTTGTAAGCTCTAGAAATTAATGTGTCTCTTTAAGAATTTAACAATCGTGCAAAGCACAAAATCTTTTTGCGAGACACAAGTTAGTTTCTACAAGAAAAATACTTAAAACGAGCCAAAAACATTTAAAAATATTATCCATTTAAAAATAATTTACTCTTTACTCCAATATTAATTTAAAATATGATAAAAAGATTTTTATTGCAACTAAATCCAAATAATCTATGCAACTAAATTATATTAACCATGAAAAAAAAAAAAAACTTTAATGTATAGCATGTACCACACTAATAAGATTTATAAGATTCTAGAAACATGTTTTGTTTATGCATGTGTGCAATAACATTTTCATCGTTCGTATAGTATTATTAGACAGGCCTGTTAAATGGTGCCACTTTTATCGCAGTCCGACTGAAGTTATTCGAGATATGAGGAAGCATTGAAGCCGACAGGGAATGAGACGATAGGAATGAGTGGTTGATGAGGAGAAAGGTAGAGGACCGTTAAAGTTACGCAGGAAAAGAAACGGCGAGTAAGAGACAACCGCGAAAAAGACTGGCAAGTGGAATGTCGGTTAATTTGTAGCCAGGTCTAGTCTACGCCATAATCTGTACGTGTATCATACTCTTTCATACGCGTCGAGACACGCGTTGCTGATCGATGTGTCGCTTGCATGCGCACCGTAGAACGCGTATTATTAATTATTACTATAAATAAAAAATATACAATCTTTTATATTACGTGGTATTTTTTTACGTTGCATACGCATGGGTTATCGCGAAAATTGGAAGAATAATTAGGTAGTCGCGAATTCGCAATTAGTTTTTCGTTTAGCAAAACAACGAAACGTAAATCATGGTGGTGCAATTATTAATGAAATACTCCAAGTACTCAAGACACTCATCGCTAAATTGCAATTTTTATTTCTAAATGTATGATTCTTGTTATTTATGAATATTTCACAACATGCTTGTAATTATATAAAAGAATTTTTGTCACATTATTTCAGAATAAAATATTTGATTAAAAATTATATAAATAATCATATAAAATGTATATATTAAAAATATTGCAACATAGTGGATCAACAATGATTTTCTAAAAATAAGGTTTCTTTTTAATATGGAATATAGATATTTTGAATGATGATCTTTATTTTCTTTTTTTTTTTATTGTCAGATAGATCATTGATAGATAAAATAAATGGATAATATTCACTATACAATAAACTACTCAAGTATAGAGAAAAAAAATAGAAATCACTATTGCATTCCACTGAGTAACATGTGTGGCCAAGTCACTTGGCGAAAGCTGCCATAAGCTTTTACCGTACCGGTATTCAGAATGCCGGACGATACGCAAGTCGTGTTTTAGCTATGACAGCTATTTACTACTAGGCACCAGGAATACGTTACAACGTTCGCGTAGTGTACTTCATTATCATCATCGCTGTTTTTCCAGAAAACCATGTGTGCGAGATCTTTGAGACATGATGTGAGAATAAAAAGTGCTTAAAACTCTTCGCTTAATTAATGTGAATAGATACGCGAGAGGAATAATTACAATGTGCACTTCCGTATTCTTCGCGCGTTCTAAAAACATTATATGCTTTCACATGTTTTTGATCTTGAGATAATAAAATAATCTCGAGATAATAAAAAAATGTACTAAGCACATAAAATGATAGTACGAACTACAGACCGGATGGTACCCACAATCGTGTAATATTTTATCCTGCAGCCAGATAAAATTATTCTAACGTAAAACCGAACAAGGAACTTTCTTCTTGCTCGACACTCTCGCATAAGTAGGCGATTCAAGTGCCGCTCTGTACAGAGAACCACGAAACGCGAAACAGAGCACAAAAAGAACAATCCGCGAGGTGGAAGGGCACATAAGGAAATCGAGTTTACGAGATGATTGTCCTACAGGCCCTATTCATTCGACATGAAATCTCCAGGTGGATCTCTATTGTAGATTATTGCGCCATTGTCCATTGTCGCAATCCGCCACGACTGGCGAATCTTCTTAGATCTCTTCGACATAAATGGGAAAAGCTCGGAAAAAATAGGAAAAAAGGTGAATCACGTTAAATTAGAATATTTAAGATAATCAAGATTATAAAGCGCAAAATATTATTTTACATTAATTTAAAAATATAGTTTAATTTTTTATCTTCTAAAATTCAAGTTTTTATATTTAAATATTTTTCAATATTAAACAAAATTGAACAAAACAATTAAATGCACATTCAAATATAAGTTTGAATGCAAATACATTAATAAGAATCGTAATAATGTGCATCGTAGTAATAATCTTTCTACGTTGCAGTAAATAAATAAATATCAAAACTTCATAAGCTAATATCGTTCGGTTGAACCACTAGGTAAAAAATCTTTAATCACGTCTCTCAATTTCAATTACTTCCCAATTTAAGGGCAAAGTCGGCGAAGATATTAAAATTAATGACAATTAGTGGTATCACGTGCCTCTCACGTTGGGTGTTCGAGACAAGAAAGTGCAGCTTGCACGCAACGCAAGCGCGGGTAAGGAAGTTTTACATCCTGCGGGACAAACATCGATGGAAATCGAATGATGCGAAACAAGCACCTGCGTGGGTACAGGCAATTACGTATGAATAACTTCGACGAAAAAGTAGCCGATGCGATCGCACACCGACTCCGATCTTATCGATACGGTGTCGCGCGCATTGCCGAAGGTCCTAGGTCCGGTATGACGATGCAATTATCAATAATTGAGAAATTTTTTTCAAGTGTAATTCAATATAACAAGCTGGCGCGCTCATTAATTTGATATTATAAGCACTGTCTCCGAACATTCCCGTTATTATATTGCCGTAAGATTACCATTAACCTCTTTTCACGATATGCAATTTATGTTTTTTCTTCTCTTGCTTTTTTCGTTGTGCTGTGCTCCACAAAGTTTGAAGACAAATGCAATTCGGGCCATATGCATGTTTTCAGATGATGCCCAAAGTGCATTCGAATTATTCGAAGTGCATAAATCATCAGATATGCATTCTCATTTTAATTACTCATATTAATTAAGCAAAGATTAATTATATATATATATATATATATACCAAAGATGATTGACAATAACACATATGACTACATACGAAATAAAGTAATTAT